ATAGATAGATAGATAGATAGATAGATAGATAGATAGATAGATAGATAGATAGATTTTAACATTGTCAAACACTTTCAGAGAAAATTAAAAAGTGGATATACCTGTACATAAGTGTCAGAATCATTTTTGTAGTAAATTGTATAAAACTGAATGACACCATTAGGTTTTTGAGGAGGATTCCAGAATACTCTTACTGATGATGAAGTGAGATTTTTATACCACAAGTTTTTAGGTGGGTCACCTGGAGCTGAAAAATGTAAACATTTACCAACTGTACAAAAAAATGCTATTTTGTTTCTGCTCTACAAATGTTTCAGGAAGGGATTTTATGACGAAAATCCTTTCTTTCTAGTGATCCTTAATGGAACTTAGCCTTAGCCTTTGGAAATACAAAAGGCTGCAATTATAATGATATACATCCTGATACTCTTTGTTTTCTATTCTGTTTTATGATATGGAAAGGAACACAATAATGTATCATTAGTGAACAGACCAAGCCAGCATTATTGAGTTAGGAGTATACAATTCATGTTGAAAATTAATTCTGGTAAAAATTAATGAAAATAAACCATTCAATAATTTATTGTCCATTTACAAAGACATATATTACTATATAATAAATAATTGCAGAGTTTTTTGTTTGCATTACACTGGACAAAGCACAAATTGACATGAGCCGCTTACAAGGCATTCAGACTGACTTTGAACTGAAGTAGCCAAATACCAGAATGAAGTGCATTGTTCCAAAGCTTCAGAAGACAATGAATGAAACCGAAATGTGTCCCATGAGTTAAAAAGGAAAATGTGGAAGTAGGAAGGTCATAGCTGTCATTTTGGAGTTTTGCATTTCATTACACTACTCTTGGGGTCAGCAGTGCTTAACTTTTCTGTAGTTTCAAAAGCAGCCTGACTACCATCAATAATGCTGTACGTCAGTCCTATGTATCCACATTCATTTTAAGCTTGTTAAGTAGCAGAAAATTTCTTTTTCTCCACATAGCACAGTGGATTAGTAATTTAGAATAAATAACTAAAACCAAAATATAATGGCATCCAAATCAACCTCTGTTAAACTACCTCCGAAAACGTCTCCCATACCTGGCATAAAGTTGCAGCCCCCACCATCTATGCCCCCTAGTGGAGATGTACTAACAAAAGAATTTTTTCTGGAAATGTTCAAAGAATCCAGAGAACAGAACTTAGAAATGTTTAGAGAATCCAGAGAACAGAAC